AGACAGACAGACGCTGCTCAAGCCCGAGGAGACGTCTCCTGTTCTCGGGGGGATCCACCTGCTGCTCTCCAGCTGCTCTCCAGGCTTCGGGGCGCTTTCCTGTTTCCCCTTGTCTTACGTAGCCCTTCAGATTGGCAGTTTTGAGTATGGAGAGCTGGGTGAGACCTGAGCATTGGGTTTCTGAAAGCGGTGCCGTGTTTGTGCCTCTGCTGTCGACCAGAGGCTCCCGTGTGTAGCAGGATGTCTTTTCCACCCCTGTTTTCTACTTCTTCACCACCGCCACCACCACCCCCCCCGGCCCCACTGCCACAGTCGGAAAGTACGGCAGCTTTCCTGCGCAGTTTCAGATTTAGTGGTGCTCGGATCACGTAACATCGCCTTACTTAAGGTGCTTTTGGAGCAAATTTTTACTGTGTTTCAGAGTGATGTCTGCACGGAATTGGCATTGAAACATGCGGATATTCATCTCTTATGCTTATGAAAGCAGACCTCCCTTAAGAGCTTGTTTTCTCACGCTGAGTTCCAGCTGTCCCTTGGCAGGGACGGGGGGGGACTGGGTGCTGGATGCCACAGAACCCCCAGTTTGCGTTCGTACAGGCAGTAAGCAAAACGACGCCAGGGAACACACGAGGAACGTGCTTGATGAACGCAAGGAATAGAAATGGGTCAACTGAAAAAGACCTTTTTGTTTCAGATCAAGCTGCCGAGGTATTGTGATAGGCGATCTCATGAGGTGACCTGGTCACTGTAGTGTGGTCACAAGTATGACGCTGTCTGGAGCAGCGCATTGCTGCTCACGGGCGAGGGCTCCTCGGATTTGTTATTTAGGCTGCTGGCTGCGTTACCAGAATCTCTGAAAAACACCAACACAGTTGTCCTTGGAGCTTGGGGTGCTTATTCTTTTTATAAATAGTATGCAGAAAAGTAGTTCATCTTCTCTTAAAAAAAAAAGTAACAAATTTTTGCAAGTTACAGGCTGTCCATTTGCCTCCTTCAATTTAGTAACGCCCACACCCTGTAGTTATCATAGGTGTCACATTTCAGCAGGCAGAGTAAGTAAAGGTATCTCTGTACACAGTAGCCACAGTCATTTGTAAAGAGCGTGGTTAGCATGTAACCTTATGCATATGTATACAACTTCTGTATGTGTATACACGTGTATCTCAGGCTCACTGTCAGCCCGGCTTTCCCTCCTGCCTTTGGAAGTGAGGAACTTTCCTGCTACAATAGAACGTGTCCAAGGGAACTGGACCAGAGTGGTGGTCTCTTGAAGACACCTGCGCTTTCTGTGGCTGTGTCACTAAAGGAACAAGGTTTTCCCACGTGCAGTAAGAACGCAACCGCTGAACTCTCCCAGGGATTATGGGTTTAGTGCTGGAGCTGCATCTAGACAGAAGGACCAGTCCAGCTAAGAGAGCTGGTTTATTTTACTTTGATTTGCTCTTCCTGTAGAAACACAAAAGATCACAGGACTGAGCCTGGGAGGGGGTTGCTTCGGCTCTAGATGCCTTGTTTGCAAGGGTCCACCTTGGGGAGGTGCCTGCATAAGAAAAATGACGTGGTCTAAAATAGAAGCACAAAGTGTTTTCTGACCATGAGCTCATCTTAAGGTTGGTATATCGTGTTTTGGAATGTGTTTTATATATTCAGATTGGGTAGTTCTGAAGATTTTTAGTAATGAACTTAAAGTAACCGTTAAGTTGGGAAAGTTCGACTTCCCTAGGTCTAAAATTAGCATCTTCATCAGCAACAAAACTACTCTCCAGTGTTACCCAGCACACAAGTTTCCCAGAAGATGGGCCTCCTGCCAAGGAATTTTCGTCTATTTACTCTTGGGCAATTCTGTGCTTAACAAAGCCAAAACTGGGAAATGTGTGTGTTGTCATCCGGGTGACAGCCTTTGGCACAGCGCAGTTGTTTGGAGGAGAGCATTCAGGTTTAGCCGGGAATCTAAAGTACCTGTCACTTTCCAGTTGCGTCCGCTGGGTTTTTGGGAGGAATAATGTGCATTTTCATAGGTTTAAGGTAGATGCGACAGAGCATGTGAAATCATAAGAGAGCTGCTCCCCTCAAGGGTTTGTTTACATGAAATAGAAAATGTTTTCAATAGTCTTATTTTAGATAAGTATGTGTAAATGAGTATTGTTGAAATGCTTCAAAGTTTTAAGCTACTTTAGTGGATATATTTTGGAATAAAGGTGTCCTCTTTCAATTACTTATTATCAGTGCAAAGATACAGCACTACGGCAATCTTCCGTTCCTCCAAGAGAGAGTTCACTGGAATTATAAAACGCAGAAATAGGTGAATATTTGGGTGCTCCCCCCAGTAAAAAAACAAACAAACAAACCAACACCAAAAAAACCTTGCCCAATATATAAACCATGTTTCTCCAAAAATCTTGGAGAAGAGTGAGAGAGTGTTGAGCGTAGCAGGGAGACCCGCATGTCTTGGCACACAGGCTGATGAGTGAACCCGCAGCGGTGACGTCTCGCAGGTTGCCCTTCCAGGAGCGTTCTCCGATGCCGCTGGGCTGGCAGTTGCCTGTCCCGAGTTCCAACAGCGTCGTTCTGCTGGCGGGGCTGTGGGCAGGCTCCCAGCAGGCGACGGTCCCTTTGGTTAGAGTCGAGATCTTAAATTCCCTGTTGCAGCTCGGGGGGAGGCTGGGCCAGGCGGTCACGCCGCCCGCCCAAGGTCTGCCATGTCTTCGTTGCTTTATCACCTCGGCTTTGCAAGCTGAACCTGCTGTCCCCGTGGGGCATGGCTAGCGGGGACGTGGTCTGCTGTGGGGAAGGAGTGTGTCCGTCATCGTGGGGGAGTCCTTGCCCACACACCCTCTGTTAAGTCTCCCAAACATAACGATGACACGCAGTACTTCCCTTCAATCCCATGAGTACCTTTACATCACGAGCAGGCTGCCCTTCTTCTGGGATTTTGCAGCAGAAAATACTTGATTTTAAAATCTGAAGGACAGGGCAAGGGAGAAGGCAGCAAGGTACATACAGCAGTAATGAAGAGAGCTATTTAAGAAGTGGGTGTAACAAACTCTTAATTAGATATGAGCTAAAATAATGCTGCTCCAAATTCAAGTCAGCTTCTTGGAATGTGGAAGGGAAGCTGAATCCCTTACAAGTGCCAATTAACTTGAGTGAGCTGGTGGATGAACTCGGGTGTCTTCCTTGCTTGGATCAGCACGTCGCACTGAAATACCGAGTTCTTCTGCCAATGTCTTTTATTTTGCCACACCAGAAGCAACCCTTAGTGATTAACAAATAGCTTGCATGACTGCCTGCATTACTGTTGTGAGGTGGAAATCACAAAATTCAGGATTTATGGTTTTTAAGCGTATCTATAAGGATGTACTGACAGTACGTGTGATTTTTGTGTAAACTAGGTCTTGTCAAGTGTAATGTCTTAAGCTTGCAAGTTGAAACAGGGAACTAAAATTAGATTCCTGTGAGATTTCTTGGCTTTAACTTCTGGTGTGTACATCGTGTGGTACTCAGCATGTAACCGCAGGTCAATTTTAGAGCATTGATTTCCATGCGGAGGCCATGCGCTAGAATTTGCAGTGGCATTAGGACAAGAATATATATTCCTGTAACCCTTACCCAGCTAACCGTTACGAAGAAGCTGCAGAATTACTGCTGGCCAAGTCTGCCGATGACATCAGCAGGTCTGTTCCTTAGAAAACGTGGCTCTGTGAGGCATGTGGCGCCGTACCTGAGGGCCACCATGGATCTTGGACAGGCTGGAGGCAGAGAGTTACTGCGGATACCGCAGCTGAGGCTGTTTGAAAATACGCTGGAGAACGTGATGGCTGTTGAGAGCGTTTAAGCGATTTGTTTGTGGGAAGACCCTTTGCTTATCAAAAAAAGCGATGGTCGTTGGTCAAAAATGTGGTCTGTGGCTGGTAAAAGTTGGTATTCCGGCCCGAGACTGGGCCCTGCGTTCTCCTCTCTGCAGGTCGGGTTGGTGTTCGCCCCAGTGTGTGGCTCCCGGTGCAGCCACACAAACGCTTCTCCTCGCACTGGGAGAGGGGTGAGCGGGTGCTTTGGAAAGAAGGGGTCTTCTGGTGGTGGTGACAGCATGGTCTGGTTCGAAATGGTTTCAGCTGAGTGGGGCGTTTCCAGTGGCGGCTGTACTGCATGCACGCGACCGGTAAATTCCCAGTGTCTTGTAATGCGTGCTGAAAGGAACAAACTCACCTTTACTGTGCGTGTTGATTTGGCTGTTCATGATCTTCCTTTTGTAACTACATTGACATGAGCTTTCTGATTCTTTGAGTAAAAGCTGCCTTTTCCATGTAAGAGCTGCTCCTGAAACACCTCAGTCCACTCCCAAAAGCCGTGCCCTGGTTGTACAGCTCTCACGACTGCCTCCCCGCTTCCTCCAGTGTGTAAGGCTGGTGGATATGTGAGCATTCAAAGAGGTTAGATGTAAGCTGCTGTGCTTTGTTTGTTACCTAAACAAGTAGAAAGTATCTGTCAAAGAATCTTAATTAAAACTTATTTTGTAGGATAACTGGGATGATGAGGAAGAAGAGGAGGAAGTAAAGGAGACGGAGGTAAAACAAGGTAAGACTTAAAAGGAATCCGTGGCTCTGTATGCAGCCTCGGAACAGGCACTGGTTCTGTCTTGAGCGTGTCTAAAGAATCAAAACCAGGTAATGGGGTCGGGTTTGTGTTTGACAAAGCACGTCTTTAACTCTCTGCGTTCAGATTCCGGTAACTGAGCTCTGTGGCTTTCTCTCCGAGTAGTGTTTCTGTAGTTGCTGAGAAAAATAATCAGTAGACTTGAGTGCTGTGTTGTTCAATGTTTTACAGAACCAAAAGTTTCAGAAAAAAAGAAAATAGCAGAAAAAATAAAAGAAAAAGAAAAGCTACAGAAGAAAAAGCAAGAGGAGCTTAAAAAAAGGGTAACTGCTTTTTTCTTCCAGAGCTCATAAAGTTTAGAGGGCAAGTTTGATTTTTTTTTTTTTTGAGGTTGAACAAGACCTGTAAAGATCTGAAGTCTTGTACTTACTAACATCTGGGGAGTGTTAGCTTTAAGTTCTCTGTAATTTGACCAGGTTATGGAAATAGCGCTTCTCGCTCTCTCTTTTGTGTGCACCTCATGATAAAACACACAGTTGTGAAACTTAGAACTCAGGTGTTTCTTCCCGCTTCTTGTAAACTGAACAACTTACTAAACAGCGTGGCGTTGTTCTGCTGTACCGGGGTGGCTTTCAGGTTTGGGCGTGTTGAGGTGTACTGACTTTGGGCAGCTGTAAGCTACTTGAGTGGCACTGGAAAACCCACGATTTCTCGTACTACTTCTGCTCAAGGGTAAGAAATATAACGTTCTCCCTATATGCATTTTTAATTTAGTTAGAGGCACCAGAGGAACATAAAGAACTTACACCAGAAGAACAGTTAGCAGACAAACTACGACTAAAGAAATTGCAAGAGGAGTCGGACCTCGAGTTAGCAAAAGAAACATTTGGTGAGTGTGCTGGGCCCCAAGTCAGGCCTCGATGAAGTTGTAGCATCATGGAAGTGCTGTATCCTCTAAATAGCGCTGCTACCTGTGGATACCCTGCAACAAGAACGCAGCAGGGTTTGCCTGTCGAAGCATGTGCAGGTTGTGCTACCGAGAACAGAGGGGTTTAGATTCAAGGTGCAGGAGGCCTGTCCTGGTGCTGAGGATGAACTGCAAGAACCACACACCACCTTTAGAGTAGAAGGAGCTGCTTCTCACTGTGCCATGGCGGGACGTTAGAGGAAAAGGATGGCTGACTAAGTTTTCCAGCGTATTGGTACTTGGGGTAGAAAGATGAGTGTGTAAAAAGGGAAGAAAAAAGTGCTGTCTTGGTGTTCTGAGGTGCTTTACGACATCGACTTAATGAGGCTTCGGGTGAGTGTGGCACAGCACGACTCATGCTTTACTTCAGGCAATCCGTAACAAGCTAGATGTTGAGAAAGCCAGCTAAGTTGGTGGAATGAGCTTGTTTCCTGGCGTGGACGAAGCAGGCTTAAAGCAGATCATTCTGGTTTTGAGCTTTGACAGAACTAGCAGAGATACTGATTCATAGCTGCGTTCTTCAAACATGAAAGCGTGTTGCCTTGATTATAGTGAATTACACAGCTTCTTACTCAATGCAGATTCTGCTCTGAGAGTCATCCGAAAGAGAACAGTGCCTGGGGGGGTGCATTGAATACAGTTGCAAAGAATGAACTAAATTTTGCACTTAAAAGCTCAAGATGGGAATTCTTTATTTAAGGGGAAAGGGGCTTTGCGTAGTGCACGTTGCTCCAAAGAGTAGGAATACCTGGTTCAAATTACTAAGCTTTGCAGCAAAAATCTCTTTACGTACAGGGTAGTAACTCCGGCTGTTGGCTTTTGTGTGGCAGAAGCCAGGGGGAAGTGAGTGAGCAAACCTCAGCTTTGGTTTGTAAAGCTTCCCGTGGAGATGAGGAGCTGAATGTGAATGAGGTCACTTGTTTCCTCTGGTGTCATCCTTTAGGGATCAGTTGATGCTTTCTGTAATACCTCTGTCTTTCCGTACAGGTGTAAATAACACTTGTGGAATAGATGCCATGAATCCCTCTTCAAAAGATGACTTTACGGAATTTGGCAAACTACTAAAAGAGAAAATTACACAGTATGAAAAATCACTACATTATGCCAGTTTTTTGGAAGCATTAGTTCGAGACGTATGTATTTCATGTAAGTGCAAGACATCCTAGAATGCACGGGTACCAAAACTGCGATGGAATTGAAGTTGAAAATATGCTGTTACAGTAAACGCTCAGCCGAGATTGATCTGTGTAGCTTATGTCAAATGAAGTACTCATCTGTTTCGCTCACTAGTATCTGATTCCATTCCCACAAACTTTATTACAGGTTGTGCGCTTGTACAAGAGTTACTCTTTCTGCGTGTCGATTAAGACAGTCATTTTAAAGTGTGAATTCTTACGATGATCTAGATCTTGCATGTTTTTCTTGAAGCCATTTCTAAAAAAATAATAATAGTAATTCTCTGAGCCAGGTAACTCGAGTAGTAGCTCATTTGGAAGGAAACTCTTATAAAATTGAGTCCATGTCATTCTGGGACTGTGAAATAAATCCCTCTGGAATCCAACATGTACCTCTACCCAGAGAAACTAACTTAAACTCATGTCTTTCCACTGCTCTGGTAGGCTGAAGTACTCAG